ATTATGATTTATGATTCAATAGTAATATAATCTTTCTTACTATCTTAATTATAACAATTATCATTAACATATATTTGTATTCAAAATATAATTATTTAAATATAATAATAAACATTATAATTATTTTAACATCAATTTTCACACTCACCTCTTCTCAGTGGCGGAGCCACTTGGAGAGGAGGGGGGTGCTTGCACCCCCTTGGGTTTGGAGAAATTTTTTTCGAGTAGGGGTATATACAAATTCGAACCAGTGATTATTTAGTTGCAAGAAGAATTTCTTACCATCTCAACCGAGTAAGTTTAGTTTTGTTATGCAATGCACTTTCGTCTTTATTTATAGTAATAAATTGTTGTCTTTTGTTTAAACTCGCTCATTTCTTTTGTAGCTCTACAATAGAGATATTTCTTGCCTTTTGTTTAAACAAAACCGAAAGTGATGAAGTACCAATTGAAGTTCACTTGTTTGTTTAACAAAATCAATTCCAAGGTACTTCTGAGTTCTAATTTGTAATTGTTGAGGGTGTTACTAAATACTCCGTTCACAGACTAAGTAGTAGGGCACACAATCGGCGATGCTCGATACGCGCTACAGGTATATAAGGGATTGAAGCCCTCCAAAGCAGGGGACTTCTCCTCTCTCCTCACTTTCTACTTTTCACTATCTCTCTACACCTTATCTCTCTATCTTATTCTCTCTACTTTCACCCAAAATATAAACTGACTTGATCGTCGGAGCTTAATCAGGGGGGCAACCCCGACTCTTTCACAGGTCTCTTCCCTCCCGACGAGATCAGACGAACAGATTGTGAGTCAACCCCACACCAACAAATATCATTGTTCGTGTCCTGAGCTAGTTGGCACAAACAGTAATACATGATGAATGGAAGTCTTGACTTGTATGTACTGAACTTATATGTGTGACGTTGTAACCTATGTACGTGAAACTATTTTAATGTAATTGTATGAATTTAGAGTATTGCGTTGTTGACTTTTTTTTCATTTAAACTTGACTTTTCTACTGTATATGTGATTTTTTATGATATGATAAAGACACCCCCTTGGCCAATTTTCTGGCTCCGCCACTGCCTCTTCTCCTTTCTCTCTCTTCTTGCACCTCAAATTGGAATTTTTTTCAGAAATAGCACCCAAATAAATTCCAAAAATATAACATTTTCTCATAAACCGCCTGCCGCCCCCATCGGTTTTAACAAAACAAAATTGATCAACTCCTAACCTAGGCCAAATCTTCAAACGAACGCAACTTTGCACTCGGGTATCTGATCGTTTGCGGCTTGCAAAATTTCGAAAAGTTATGCAAAATCAAAAAAATTCGCTATAATCGCTATTGATATGATGAAAGCTTTTGATTCAATAAACTAAGATTTCTTATTAGGTGTGATGCTTAATGTAAATATATCATAGGAGTTTGTGACGTGGGTGAGGCATTGTGTTTCTTCTGCCTACTTTTAGTGTATATGTCCATGGTAGCTTATTTGCTAATCTCAATGCAAACAAGGGTTGCGATAGGGGCGATCCTCTCTCATCTTAATTGTTTACGGTCGCTTTGGAAATGTTTTCCATTATGTTAAATGATGTTGCTCAACAGGACCATTTGTCATATCATCCCCACAATGAAAATTAATAGGTCTTATATATTTATGTTTTGCAAATGACCTGTTAATTTGCACATCCGGATCAGTGTAAGCTTTGTATTTATGTAATGACCTATTAATTTTCACATCATGATCTTTGGAATGAGTAAAAAAGATATATAGTCGTTCAAAGGCCTTATAAATTGTCTGGTCTATGCTGCAATCCACATGAATGTGAGGTATTCTTTCATTCTTTGTAGGAATAATGGGAAAAAATCCCAAAATACTCTACCTATTAAAAAAAATTCCTCAAATACAATACTTATAAACTTTTTCCCCAAAATACAGCAGTTTCACCATCACTGTCTTTGTCCAAGACAGTGATAGTAATCATCGCTTTGATTAAAAACGGGGAAGGTATCACCGCTTTTGAGGACAGCGGGGATAACATCACCGCCTCAAACCACGACAGTGATTGCTTCACCGCCTCGGACCACGACAGTGAATGCTTCACCGCTTTGGACCACAACAGTGATCGCATCCCCGCCTTTCAGAACGACGGTGATAATTTATCTCTTCACCGCGTTTATGTGAAACGGTGATAGCATCGCGGTGGAGAAAAGCGGGGATAATTGACCACGTTTTTCTACCCTGGTAGGTGGAAAATTAGGTCACAGCGACCTAGCTATCACCGCTTTGGACAACAGCGATGATGTGTTCACCGCCGAAGTCCAAAGCGGTGATTAGCAGCCATTTTTTCCTATATATACCGAAGCCCACTCCCTTCCTGCTGCTGCCTTACAGCAACCAAATACAACAAACCTTTTTTTTTAGTCGGTTTCTCAGCTGGTTTGGAGTTGGTTTACTGCTCAAGAAACTCGTCGGGATTCGGTATGTTAGAATTACGTATTGTTTACATTAATTTGTTTATATATATAGATTAATTATGATATGATAGATGTTAGTTAGTTAGTACTGAATTTAGATTAATTTGTTTAGTTTTCTCATGATAGATCGGGATTGAGTATGTTATAAGTATGTATTTTTTACATGTTGAGCTGTTAGTATGAATATGTCTGTATTTAGTGAATCGCAGTTATTGGAAAAGATGTTATGATATATTTAGATTAATTATGATATGATAGATGTTAGTTAGTTAGTACTGAATTAGATTAATTTGTTTAGTTTTCTCATAATAGATCAATTAGTTGCATTTTATTATGGGTTTGTTTTGTTTTTGTATCCATAATGTACTAATTGTATACTAATACTTAATTATTATAAATTGCAGACATGGGTAAATTTAAGAAGTTTCGGCTTATTATTCGGTGGAATGGTCGGGTGACAAACTCGAACATGGGGATCGACTATGAAGATGGCGAATCCAGTACGCTTACAATTGAGTCGAGGCCCTCGTGGCAAGAACTCCATGACAGGTGTGCAGAAAGGACTTGTACGGGCGGGCAAATGAGAGTTCGTCAAATTACTTACCGGTATCCCAACATGAGTGCTGACGGAGTCATGTACGAAAAAGTTGACATAAATGATGATGACGACGCGAACATGATGACACATTTCATATCTGAGAACGGCGTGCGGCTTGCAGAGGTGTATGTCGAGACCGAGCCGGTCGGTGAAACTCATTCTCACCAGTATTCTTATGATGATGGTTTTGCAGGAGGGTATGGCTGGGGTGGTAGTTCAAGTAACTACGGAGCAGGTTCTTCTGCCGGAGGGTATGGTTGGGGAGGTACTTCAAGCAACTACGGAGGAGGTAGTTCTGAAGGAGGTGTTGGGTGGGAAGAATACCTGCCACATGGTGGTGAGACTGCCGTCGATATCGTTCAGCCCGACGGTGATCAATGGCCTGCTTGGGGTCCAGAGTGGGGTGACATTGAAAACACCCTTCGAACTGGGCGTCCTTCGCATGACCAAGAAGGCGATGCTGGTTATGCTGCTAACGATGACCATCCTTCGCCGACCTATCCATTCGCCTCCAGTGACGATGAAAGTGAGGAAGATTTGAGATCAGTCAGTGAGGAGGAAGATACGGACGATAACGACGATATCGATGACAGTGAGGTGGCGTTCCGACAGGCACCAACGCCTTACTACACAGAGGTTCCTGATCAATTTTTATATGGTCAGAACGATGCCCCTGACTTTCGGCCCATGCCTGTGTATAATCCGACTGCTAATTTGGAAGTGGGTATGGCGTTCACTTCGAAAGCCGATGTGCAAGACGCTTTTAGCGAAGAAGCCATGCGGCGTAATTTTGAATGGAAGGTAAAATATTCTGACAAGGGACAACTGCATGTCATTTGTAAGAATGCTGGAGAGGGTTGTATGTGGCAACTTCGTGCTGCATATATGAAGAGAAAGGGGGTCTGGGTCATGCGGACAGTAGAGAACAACCACAGTTGCTCCTCAACCATACTTTCACAGGATCACCGGCAACTGAAAGCAAAAAAAGTGGCAAGAACCATTAAGCACCTTATCGAGGCACAACCAGATATCAAGATAAAAGCTATCATGGCGGAGGTGAAGGATCGACACTCCTACACCATAAGGTATAAGAAGGCGTGGCATGGGAAGCAGAAGGCCATGGCTGATGTCTACGGTGATTGGGATGACTCGTATGCTTTACTCCCCAGACTAATGTCCGCAATGGAGGAGTCCAACCCTGGGACGGTTTTCGTGCCTTGGTACAACAACGTAGAAACTGAAGATCAAGTTCGAGTACAGAACGAGTTGATGTTTCATCGTCTGTTCTGGACATTCAAGCCATGCATTGACGGGTTTCCCTTCTGCATGCCAGTGATTCAGGTATATTACGGACTCAAAATATTGTACTATTTCATTACTTTACTAATTTCAATTTTTATTAACTCATTATTCATTTTAACAGGTTGATGGAACTTTCCTTACTGGGAAGTATAAAGGAACTCTTCTTATTGCCACTGGGGTTGATGGAAATTTAAGTATTTTTCCCTTAGCATTTGCATTAGTTGAAGGGGAGAACAACCTAAGTTGGGCATGGTTCTTTGACCAGCTACACGCCCACGTCACACAAAGAATGGGTATTACAATTATATCGGATCGACATGCCGGGATTAAACACGCCGTCCGTGGTTTCCCGGACGAATGGGGATGGACATGGCGTTGGTGTATTCGTCACTTCCTAGCCAATTTCCAACACAAATTTGGCAAGAAGAAAGACATAAGAGATCAATTGTGGAGTGCAGGTAATAATGTAATTCAGTGATTGTTCATGGTTTATTGTTCAAATGAAATTTCTTATGGATTAATTATTAATTATCCGGTCTTGTAGCCGTTGCACATCAACCAAAAAAGTACGAGCAGAAGATGAAGACGATCCGTCAAATACACCGGGCGGGAGCAGTATGGGCAGAAGGTCAAGATCTGCACATGTGGACATTTCACATGGACAACGGGGCTAGATTCGGAATTGCAACTACCAACCATGGGGAGAGCATAAATGGAGTCTACAAGGGCATTAGGGCAATGCCTGTATCTGTCCTAGTGGAGATGACATATTGGAAGGTAAACGAGTGGTTTGTGAAGAGACGGGATGCTGCTATAGGGAGGGAGCGTGCTGGTCATTCAATAGCTAAGCATATATTTGATGGCATGCAGAAGATCGAAGAGAAATCAAGTAAGCACAGAGTTGTCCTGTTCAACCGCAATGAAGGTATTTTTGCTGTGCAAACAGGTATCTGGGGTGGAGGAAGACGTGGGCATAATCGTCAATCCGTTACTCTACACGTAGAAACTCGCACCGGAGAGTGTACATGCCAAAAGTATCAAAACAGAAGAGTACCTTGTTCACATGCAATGGCAGTAGCTAAGTCGATAACCCTCAGCGCTTACAGTTTGGTTAGTCCTTACTACACGGAACAGGCGATCAGGAACTCCTACTCGTCAAGTTTTAGCCCCCTGCCGGATGAAGCTTATTGGCCTGTAGACAATGGGAAGTTGATTATCCCACCGTTACACTTAAAGCGCACCAAAGGTCGTCCTAGGACCGAAAGGATTCACAATGAAATGGACCAATCACAACGTGCCCGACGGGGTCCAAAGCGTTGCTCAAAGTGCAGACAACCGGGTCATGACAAGAGGCGTTGCCCAGGTCCACCTATAGAGCAAGATTCGGCGCCAATTCCGAACCAACCTTGATGTTGTTGTTGTTCACTTCCTTGTTTTAATCTTGTTGAGTAGTTTTCGTTGTTGTGATGTTTAATTTGGACTTCTTGTTTTAATCTTGTTGAGTGATTGTAATAAAGGGCGTTTGTTGTTCATTTTGTTTCAACATGGGGGTAAAAACCAACCAAATTTAGCCGACATAGATAGTTAATGGAAAACAACACAATCCGATTGCCAAATTTAGAAACATAGATAGTTCATGGAAAACAACACAAGACCCAAACCAAATTTAGACGACATGGATAGTTCATGGAAAACAAAAAAAGATGAAACTAAATTAGAACGACATAGATAGTTCACTGGTTGTCTTCATTTCCCTCCACTTCCCCTTCTCTTCCTCTTCCTCTTCCTCCACGACCTCCTCGGCCCCTTCTTCCTCCCTCTCTACCTCCTCCTCCTTCTTCACGAGCCCGCTGGACAATTAATGGCGGCCAATCACCGCTTTCCTCGCCTGCAGTGATAACACCGCTCCAGTCAAAGGCGGTGATGGGCGGATGGCTGACGTGGCGAGGCGTGAGGCGTCGGATCGTGGAGAAAAACCACAATCCGCGCCTCACCGCATCGAACGGCAGCGGTGAAGGGCGCGGATGGCGCGGATCGCTGACGTGGCGGGGCGGGGCTATCACCGCTTTCGTCTTACGCGGTGAAGTCCCCGCTCCTCGCCACGTCAGCGATCCGCGCCAACTTCACCGTTTTTGATCTCAACGGTGATAAACCTTCACCGTTGTTCTTATCAACGGTCAATCGATCACCGCTTTGGTTGAAGGCGATGATAGCTTCACCGTTTTGGACAAAAACGGTGATAGCATCACTGTTGTTGTTTAAAGCGGTGATACTATCACCGTTTTGAACCAAAACGGTGAACACCATCACTGTCTTGGACAATGACAGTGATGGTGAAACTGCTGTATTTTGGGAAATTTTTTTATAAGTCTTGTATTTGAGGAATTTTTTTTAATAGGTAGGGTATTTTGGGATTTTTTCCGGAATAATGAGGCAAGGGAGCAAAGCGACGGAAGTATAAAAACAAAACCCGGCATTTCTTGTCTTCAACATAATCGATCACCTCAAGAAGCATCATTACGAACTTTGATTTTTGCTACAAGGCCAAAAACAAAGGATCTACCCGGCGCGCTTCTTTGAGCTAAATTGGTAGAACATATATATATATCGAGAGAGGAAAAGCTAATTAATTAATGTATAACTAGGCAGAATAGGGGGGAAGAAGAATAACAACAAAACAAAACTATATTGAGTTTCTCTCTTTATTCGTAAATTGTTGAAACCGAGTTAAGTCCGTATGGATTTGCTTTTCATTATTCTTCTTAAAAGATCTGATACTAATGAATTTTATGACACTAATAATATAAGGATCCTATACGTTGCACTCTCGATCAATATAGTATTTGAATTGTCCCAACATAACAAATTCATCGACAACGAAGAAAGGCATCAAATTAGTCGTGGAAGTTTGTAATTATGTGGTCTCGTAATCAATATGAGCCACTTCTTTTTAACGTTGGGCGAATCTCTAGCCAGCAGATGCTCTCTCTCGTCTCTTCTTGTTTTGGTTTTAGTAGGTCGACCTGAGATCGACGACTACAAACGCGTTGAAGGTAGCCATCGGTTGCAGGGGGGAGACAATTAACGAAACACAGAGAGAGCGAGCTAAGATGGGGATAGGTTTGTTTGAAACATGAAGAAGAGAAGACAAATGCATGTTTCGTTTTTTGGTTTTGTCTTTTGGCGGCCGGGGAAGTTGGCGCTACTTCCAGCTAGCCTTCCATTGTCGTTTGTTACTTTTGAGGGGAGCTAATTAACGGCTGTCCGGTTCCGGTGGGTATTCCATGGATGTACATAATTGGACGACTCACGTCACGAGTGGCTGCTAATCACTGCTCGTTGCATGCTGCTGCTCCTCCGCCTGGCGATTGTTTTACCAATTCGAGATAGTATTCTCTTTATTAATAATCAAATCGAATAACACACACACATTGATATACATGTATGAGCTGCGAGACCTGAACCCTTCTAAGAGACCCTACGGAATATGAACATGGTCTTTGAATCAGGTAAATTTGTATCCATGTTTTACAACGGATCAAGGGCTCCAACGATTTTTCACATTACATACGTTAAAACTTCAAACAATCGTAATTTTGCACTCGGTGATAATTTTTCGAGATCTTTGTAGCCGTCTTCGTCTCTTGAAAAGGTCGTTTCCTACCCCAAATTGGTCATTTTTTATTTCGCTAAACTTTGAACAATCGCAATTTTATGTTCGATTATCCAATTGACGTAATTTTTTTTATTTTCTATAAATGTTTCCGGACGATAACTTTTTTCATAGAATTATTTTCAGAATATATAATATAAAGATAAAATATAAATCTAAAAGTATCCAAAATCCTAAAGCATTGTCCTCTTCATATCCTCTTTTCTCCACCATCAACGGCCTAAAATTACTATTTTTTGGGGCTCGGCCTCATCAAGTATTTTTACGAGTATTGTAAAATTATAACGGAACAAAAGTAAGTGATAGAATATTTTAGGGTTATACTTATAGGTATAATATGTCCCTCTATTATGTCGTTTTATCAGATATTCCCCTCTATTATTTTTTACATCAAACATGCCCCTGTAATTTGAAAAAATTATCAAACATGCTCTTCTGTCAAAATTTTCATCCAAAAATCGTCAACCATGGTCGAACCTTGGTTTGGGCAACACAAATGTCTAAAATATCCTTGATAATTTCACTTTAGAATTGTTTGGATTCTTTTGTACTGCCAAATACCTCTAATAAATTCACTTTAACAAGACCTAGAGAAATAAATCAAGGGAAAAAACTGACATTTTCCTTCCCATTTACCGATGTTGGATCGTCTAAATCTCGGTTCAACCATTGTTGACGATTTTTTTAATGGAAATTTAACAAAAAGGCATATTTGATCATTTTTCCAAAGTATAGGGGCATATTTGATGTAAAAAATAGTAGAAGGACATGGTTGATAAAACTGCATAATAGAGGGGCATATTATACCTATAACCCAATATTTTATGTTGAAACTATAGTTTAATAATGGTTCAACCATTTCATACCACTAAATACCGTCTACTGATTTAGCATTCAATATGAAATTATTTTGTTATCGAACCACCACTATGGTACGATTTTTCAATCCCGGTATTTTAGCTCATCGGTTCTTGACTTCTCGTAAGGCAAGTACCAACAAGTCAACAACCCTCTTTCTCATCGTTATTTGGACGGGGAGCAGCCGGTTCAATATGTATCATTTGGGCCTCTTGACCCAGAAATTTGGGAAGTTGCCTCGTGTCCCCGCCGAGACCCGAGGACGCCAAAGCCCATAGGCCATAGCCAATAGCCCATAAGCAAAAAGTGAAAAGGCCGAAGAAGAAGAAAGAAACACAACACTCATAAAAGTGACGCGTGCGAAGCGTGTCAGTCCCCAATTCAATCTCAAACTTGAAAACTCCTCTATTTCCCAATCCGCCATTACTTCCCCTTTCGCCCATTCTCGCTTTTCCTTTTCCTTAACCGCTAAGGTTTGGAAGAAGAAGGAGCGCCATCTCTCTCACCTGTCTTCATCAATCCCTTCGCTTTCAACTCCTTAATTCAACTTCCCCGCGGTCTCTGCAGTCCCAGAGAAGGAAAAGGCCAAAATTCCAGGCAAAACGTTGGGAAGGCGCAAGAAGAAGGAGGTGAAGGAAGAGATATGGGGCTGCTTTCCAACAGGTGAAATTCTCTCTTCTTCTTCTTCTTCCTTTGTTCGCTCTGATTCCTGTTTTTTTTTTTTTTTTCCTGGGTGATTCGTGTTGGAACTGGATATGCTATTTTGTTACTCAAACTCGGCAGATTTATGGCTTCAATAACAGGATCCCAAAGGACAGTTTGAAACCAGGGGATCACATATACTCCTGGAGAGCTGCGTATGTTTACGCCCATCACGGTTCGCTTCTTCTTCCTTCCTTCCTCATTTCACTCTTTCTATTCTGCTGCTTACTAGAATTTTGGGGATTGGGGGAAGAGGGATCATCAGGATCATTGATGGAAGTTGGCACATTTCCTTACACATGGCTCTAACCCCTTGGTTTGCAGTTCATGGCTCTATTTTGCTTTTCGTGCTTCAGTGGATCTAAACCATTGGTCTGTGTACTGGTACTACACACTTATATCATTGTTTTTCACATAAGGTTGCATTGCCCAGACACCTGCTGTCCCACCCTTACGATCCAACATTCCTTCAGGGTTTGATTAGGTGAATGGTCCATTTGCAGTTCTGCTCTCAGTTTCTAGCCCTGTTAGGAGCTTAGGGCAAGTGTTCTTCGCTTGTCTGTAACTCCGTCTCTGTGGTGTAGTTTAGTAGTTATCATTCTCATATTGGTTGTTTCTCCCCATCCCATCTATTATATATATGCTGCATTTAGGTTCTTCACTGTTCATTCTTGTCGCAATATCGACCCCCAAGATTTGGCTTAATGACTCGTAGGAATTGTCTGTCTAGTATTTCCAAGCTGTTTTGTGATCTTAAGGTCTTTTACCTCCTGAATTGGAATCAGGTATCTACATTGGAGATGATAAAGTAGTACACTTCACCAGGCGTGGCCAAGAAGTTGGAACTGGAACCGTACTTGACATCCTTCTGGTCAGCTCAACCCCCAAAAGACCTCTAGCCCCTTGCCCCACGTGCTCTTCACGTGAAGAAGCCGGTAACAACGGAGTTTTGCTCTCCTGCCTCGACTGCTTCCTCTCCGGCGGCATATTATACCGGTTCGAGTACAGCGTCAACCCTGCTCTCTTCCTTGCAAAAGCTCGTGGTGGAACTTGCACTCTCGCGGATGCTGACCCAGACGATGTTGTGGTCCATCGTGCAAAGTTCCTTCTGGAGGAGAATGGGTTTGGATGCTACAATGTGTTCAAGAACAACTGTGAAGACTTCGCTATCTACTGCAAGACGGGTCTTCTAGTCATCAATCAGACCACAATGGGCCAGAGTGGTCAGGCTGTGTCGATTATAGGTGGCCCGCTTGCTGCGGTCTTGTCTACTCCTCTGCGTCTCGTCACCACAAATGTCTATGGTATGGCAGCAACGGCTGTGGGGGTTTATTGTGTCAGCAGGTATGCTGCTGATATCGGCAGGAGGACGGATGTAGTGAAGGTGGATGTTGAGGACTTGACAAGGAGGCTTGCTACTGGGCTCGTCCAGGTGATTGAACCGCAGATTGTGGCTGGACCACTGACTGAGAGTCAAGAAGCTTTGCAGATTTGCTCGTGAAATTGCGTTGGTCTTTCTCTTGTCTGTTTGAGGAAATAAAGATTGATTATGGAATTCTGAAGCTTGAATTAAACAGTGTGCGTGTGTGTGTGACTGTGCTGTGTAATTTTCTTCTGCAGCTGTACTGGACTCGTGCAGTCTAATATCGACTGTGTGGTGCCAACGTTTTATTTATTGGTAATCGTACTGTTTTGAGTTGTTTTTTATCTGGTAATGTGACAATGGAGTGTACGCGTTCTATGTTCATGTCTACGAGTTGTTGACATCGTAGTGGCGGAGACAAAAAAACTAAACAGAAAGAGAATACAAGCACAGTCTGCACAGATATATATATACAGTTAGTTATCAACAAAACATTAACCACCTATTTAGTTAGTTATCAGTTAAACAGAAAACCATTTCAGCCTAATGATAACAGCACCAATATCTTATAATCAGTTATAATTAACCGTTGATTGATTATCAATGTAAAAATCACTCCAAGGGGCGGGATATGGTCATTTCCCCTATGGGGTTGTGAGATTCACAACCAAGGGGCGGGATATGGTCATTTCCCCTATGGGGTTGTGAGATTCACAACCAAGGGCATTTTGGGTATGACAAAAAAATAATTTTATTAATTAATTATTTTATATTAATTACATATTGAGAATTAAAAATTCATATTAAATACATGTTTTTTAAATATAAATCCTACAATAAATATTACTCTCTCTTTTTCTTATCTCTCTCTTCCTTTTCTAGCCGCCACAACACTCCGACCGGCTGACTTTGCGACCGACACACTTTCTCCGATAAAATCCTTGAATAAGACTCGCTCCGGCCACCTGCAAAAAATTATCGCTCCATCAATGCGCTAGTGGTACGCTACCGCTACCACTGGTACCACTACCATATGGTAGTTGGTAGTGGTAGAGTACCACTGTTATTTGGTACCATTACCTGGTAGTGGTACGCTACCACTACCAGGTACCAAATAGTAGTGGTACCAAAAGATAGTGGTACGATACCACTACCAGCTACAAGATTGTAGTGGTAGAGTACCACTACATCTAGTACCACTAATCCACTATCAGAAAAAAAAAACCACTAGAAAAAAACCAGATCTGAAAAACAAAAACTCAAAGATCTGAAAAACGAAGGGGAGGAGAGGAAGAGTATAGTGGTAGAGGGACTCGCACCGCAAGAGACAGGGAGAGGAGGCACGGCGGTGGCGGCATGGGGTGAGGGAGGCGGAGGATTGCAACGAGGACCGCATGGCGGTGATGGTGGGAGGGGGAGGAAGGGGGAGACGAAAGGCGCGACAGGGGGTTGAGGGTTGTGGAGGGGGCACTAGCGGCGGTGGTGGCTGGACGGAGGAGATAAGAAGAGGGAAGGGGCAGCGATGGCGTCAAGACACCGACGGCGACGTGAAGACATCGACGGCGACGGGAAGACGTCACCGATAGGAGGAGGAGATGGTGATGGCGGAAAAAGATGAGAGGAGAGAAGAAGATGATGGATCTGTTAGGGTTAGAGGAAAAGAGAGGAGAGGAATATGTAGGGCTATTAGGGGAGAGAAATCTGGTGTGGTTATTTTTTCATCCAAAAATACCCATTGATTAATCTCCTTCATCCATTCAAAAAAAGGAGAGATAATGAATCTAACGGCTGGGAGGGGAGTAGCGCATCTCACGACCCTTAAAAGGGAAGTGACGGTATCCCACCCCCACCCCAAGAGGTTAATTCTCTCGCTCTGAGAGCTCTGTTTTCCCTGCTCCCCCGGTGAGCTCTTTGCGGTTCAAGCTTGTGATTGTGTCTTTTCGTCTCCTTTTCTTTCTTCTTCTCCTCTACCTTATAATTCGATCCATTATGTCCCCCTCTTCTTTGTGTTTCAATGTTGGCGGTTTGACGAGATTGGCGAGTCATGGCTTCAGAAATAGAGAAAAGGTTAACTAACTTTCACTTGTCGGAGGAAGAGGCAAATGTTGTCAGTGTGGAGGAAGATGATGTTGACATTAGAGTTGAAGAAGTGATCTAAGAATGGTGAGCGGTGGGTTATCTCCAAGGAGCTAAAACCCTGAGTGCCAAATTCTTGAAGACAGCTTTATGTGCAGCATGGAAACTTAATAAAGAGTTTATTATCCATCTGGTGGGAGAGCATCTTTTCGCCTTCCAGTTTTTCAGTAATGAAGACAGGAAAGAGGCTCTTTATGGAGGAACATGGCCCTTTGATAACCATCTCATGGTGTTCAAACCAATTGAAAGAGACAAAGAAACGGCAGAAATGGATTTCAGCGAAACGGAAATATGGGTTCGAATACGGAAGATCCCACTGAAGATGAGAACAGAGAAAATGGCGGAGAAGATTGGTATGATTTTTGGTTCCCTTAAAATATTTGATACAGACAAATTTGGGTCGTGGAGCAGTTATATGAGGCTAAGAGTTACTATAAATGTGAACAAACCACTGCAAAGAGGAGTCCTGCTCGCTGAAGGAAAAGAAAATGTCTGGTATAAGGCGGCATATGAGAAACTGCCCAACTTCTGTTACAACTGTGGGGTCCTTGGCCACTTGAAGAAAAACTGTGAAGAGGAGATTATCCCAGAGGAAGAATCCGAGTATGGGAATTGGTTGAGAGCATTGTCTCCAGTCAAGAAGATGGGTCCAAAAGGCAAAACGGGAGCTGAAAGATTAGTGTCATAGTGGACAGAGGCAAAGCAGAGGAAGGTCGGAGGATATTCCGGCGAAGATGCAGTTAGAATGGAAGAGTCTCCGGTGGTGGTTCGTTTTCCTTCTGGAACACCGCGTGTGAGATTGTTTGATTTAATTAAGGCGGGACCAGAAGATCGAGAAGCAGTTAATGATGAAAAGGGAAAAGACAAACTAGGGAAACGAGAAGAAGCGCGTGGAAAGCTGCAGCAAGAAGAAATAAATATCATAGAAGATAGAGAAAATAGAAAGCAGATTGAAGAGGAAAAAAATAATAAAGAGTAAAGGGCGGACCCGTCAGATTGCCCAATGTAGAGAGCAAGAAGTAATCGTACAAGCCCAGGATACTGCGACTAAAGAAACACCAAAGGAAGACAAAAAAAAAAGGCCCAAAAACATGGACCGGACTTAGGTAACCAGTTCGTGGAGCGGGAGCGTGAGAGCGTCTATTTTTCAAGAACTCAATATAGAGAGAGCGAACAGAGCGTTAATATTATATTATTTTAATATACTTAAGAAAAAATAAACTTAATATTATTGGTGAAAACAAAAATTGTCAAAAGCAATTCCATTATATATGACCTATGTTGCTTCATTTTAAAGCAATTATCATGTTCTATAATAACCCAAACATCCCGAAGCCTACTAGATATACAAAGATACTTCTTAATATGCTTGCTAATTGCTATACAAAAGAGTTGACCACTATGTGCAAGCAATACCCTTTGGTCAACTATTACAAACCTTACTTTCTTATATCCTATGACAAGCCTACTAGATATACAAAGATAGTTCTTAATGTGCTTGCTAATTGCTATACAAAAGAGTTGACCACTACATGCAAGCAATACCCTTTGGTCAACTGTTACAAACCTTACAAATTAAACATGACATCACACATTTCTACTTCTTTTCGGTTCCCTTCCACTTTCTTGAGTAGCTTGAGGTGGAATGGGTACACTTGAAGTTGGAACAACCGAGTCTTCTTCATGACGCAAGGAAAAGTCTCTATCCTCGAGTTGTTGTGTGTCAAGGTCTATCATATCATCTTCCACATAAGAATCCCAATTCTTATAATTTTTCTCATAATCCTCCCTGTAACGTGTCAATAAACGGTTATTGTAGTGAGCATACACCAAGGATTCAGCACGATCAGCATTCAATCGATTCTTCTTCACACTGTGGATGAAACTATATGTGCTTCAAACTCTTTCAGCACAAGAAGTATTAACACTCTGCGATAACACCCTTACAGCCAAACTATATAACTCAGGAGCTGCTGCACCATGTAAGTTCCACCATTTGACAGCAGGCAATATTTCTCTATCGAATATCGCTTGTGGACGAGCAAACTTACCTAAATCAATAGCATTATAGTTACACTATAATCCATAAAATACATATAGCACAACTACACAAAGCAAAAAATCATTATAGCAAATTATGTTGTCCGTGTCATGTACCAATAGGACTAGGTTATTATGAAATTATGTGAGGAGGGGATGAACTGATTAAACAATGGAAATTAACACATGCATACACAGCTAGCTCACCAGTACCCAAAATCCACAACCATTAGATTTTGTTTTTAATTAATTGCAACAAAACTAAACCCCCAATTCCCTTATGTTTATTTAGCCTCTCCCCTCTCATATATTTCATTCTGTACTCATTGTAGAAAGAGTAGTTTTGTTTCAACTTTATTAACCCATACTTCATTAACCCACATGCATATGTAAGTATTTTTTGTTTATTATATACACGCACTGTAACCAGTATCACACTTAAAAAGAATATAGTTAATGTTAGCTAGCTTAAGTAGTTTTCTCATAGATGAACATAAATGGGTCTTGGTTGCGAATAAATTAATTTGATGAGAATAGATACCTGTGTTGCAAACAAAGTCGCTAATTTGAACTCGAGCTCTAGTTGCCTCAACCGAATTCCCAACTATACGATCTACCACATCAAGATATATCTTCTGAATTTCAGGATCAGCATGAGGCTTGATTCTCTTCTCTCCTTTTGGACTAGAACTCATCAACCATTTGTTAGAATAATAGAAAGGAGTAAGCACATAAGCCAACAAATGCAAAGGGACATTCATTTTTCTCCATCTCTCCATGACAAGAGCTTCAATGATATCCTTCAACTCCATATGGTCTACCAAAGCAAGTTGAATACAGTTCAATATGTCTTCCATTCTTTGATAAACTTCACCGATAATAGCTTTGTCAGAATTGCAAAAGAGAATCATTTTCCAAATGGGTCTTGTGAAACTAAGAACAAATTTCAGCTTCTCCCAAAAGTCACCATCTAAAATAGCATTATTCACTTCTTCATGACTTAAATTTGAAGAGGTTGCACCATGCTTCAAAGATTCCCACTCATCACTTAATACCATTGAAATCAAGTGATTTTTCAGCTTGGCTAAACGTTCTAATATAACATAATGATGACCGAATCTTGTCTTCTTAACTTGAATCACCTCGAGAGCAGAAAACTTTCTGAAAATATGCAACATCATGTTGTGGCTTCTTATGTACTTCACTATCCCTTTGACTTTCTTATAAAGAAATCCCACAAACCTCAAAGAAGGATAATGAGAAGATGCCACATCTTTCATCAAAAGGCTTAAGAT